ATTAATTTTTGATATTTGTTGAGAGGCTAATATTTGGAATGTATGCAGTCAAATACATTATTAATATGTTTCTTTGTATTTAAAATATGACTATTAGAAAACTGAAGGTTTCATATGTTACACATATTTCTGTTGGACAGTGTGACCTTAACAATAATAAAAAAACCACTACTTTTTATTGAGTTTCTGCTAGACAGTTTTGTCTGTCTTCCTTTCTTCCTCCTTTCTTTCCTTTCCCTTTCTTTTATTTCTTTCCCTCTTTTCTTCTTCTTCCTCGTCTCCTCTCTTCCTCTTTTCTTCCTACTCTTTCTCCTCTCTCTCTGTCTCTCTCTCCCTCTCCCTCCCCTTCCCTCTCTCTTTTTCTTTGCTGAGAATCAAATCCAGGGCATTCATACACCACCCCAGCCCTTTTATTTTTCAGGCAGCATCTTTCTACTTGCCTACTTCCCCTGTCTCAGCCTCCCAAATTGCTGAGATTACAAGCATTTTGGGTTTCTAACATGATTTAATTGAATGGGTTGGGCATTACTATTATTGCCATTTAACAGAGTGCAGAGCATAGAGTTTATATTGCAAGTCCAAGCTCATACACCTAGTTAAGTGACAGCACTGATCTCTTCCATGGACTTTCTTTGGAGCCTGATGCTTGCTCATTCAGTGTGCTAACTTCCCTCTGTATTTGGGTCTCCATGGTTCAGCAATTAAAATTTTCCACACTTTCCCCTGTATTTGTTTTAAAAAGAGGGATGATAGAGCCGGGCATGGTAGCCCACGCCTGTAATCCCAGCACTCTGGAGGCTGAGGCAGGAGGATCGCTGCAAGTTCGAGACCAGCCTGAGCTCCATAGTGAGTTCCAGGTCAGTCTCAACTACATAGTGAGATCCTGTCTCAAAAAACCAAAAAATAAACAAACAAAAAAATTGGATGATAGCAGGGCATTGTGGACAATGCCTGCAATCATAGCACTGAGGAGGCTGAGCCAGGAGAATTGAGAGTTCTAGAACAACCTGGAATACACAGTGATACTGTCTCCTCCCACATGCACACCCTCAATCTAGGGCCACAGTGTATTTCCTGTATTGCAACTTGCTGAAAAATAAACCTTACATGTTGGATTTCTGTCCATTAACCAGATGTGCTAGCTGGTACCTAGCAAAGCAACATCACCATTCCTACTCTGATTCAAATCTAATTGTTCACAGGCATATTCTTCAACTTGCAGTTTATTGCCAGTATCATGCATTTCATGTTACAGTTTCTCTTGGGCCCCTTATTAGTCATAGACATCCTAAAAATAATTTCTTATCTGCTGACATTATAGAAAACATTTTAGTTCATTTTCTTTTAAAATGTAATATCTTAACCCAAGTTTGATCCTCGGTACCAAAACAAACAAACAAACAAACAAACACAAAAACAAAACCAAAATGTAGTATTTTAAATAGGCAGATACATTCATATGATAGAAAATTATATAAATGTGTTCAGTGAAAAGTTTCTAACCTCATCAATTTACTTCTTATTCCCATCCTTTCATGGCGCTACACTGCTTCTTATGAACACAGTGAGGCAGTGGCCAGAGAAATTAAATGTGCAGCTAATAATATTTATAATTAAATTATTAAAAAGGTTAGTATATTGAAAAGGCTATGGTCACATGAATTTAAAATTATATCTGTCAAAAAATGAGAAGCAAGACCTGTCATGTAAAGGTACAGGATCCCAGTAATGAATGTAACTGTACTATATACCTAGAATGTACCAATAAATTCAATTAAAAATGAAAAAAATAAAATTATATCTGTCATTGGGTAAATTATCTCTTAATTAGGTTGCCAGAAATTAGCAAATTAAATACAAATACAAGGCTAGGCATGGTGACACATGCCTGTAAATCTATGCTAATGCAGGAGGATCACAAGTTCAAGCCCAGCCTGCACAACTTAATAGGAACCTGTTTCAAAATACAAGATAAAAATAAAATGGATGGTGATGTAGTTCAGTATAAAGGTTATGGGTTCATTCATCAATACCATAAATAGGTAAATAAGTAAACAAATATAAGATACCCGGTTGAATTTAAATTTCAGATAAACTCTTTTTTTAAAAAGTTTAAGTAGAAATAAGTCCACAGCATTACATGTACCTATTTCAAGTACTGCGCAGGATATTCACTGCAATTTATAGGACTATTCAGGGTACATATACAATTATTTGTTTGGGCTGGGGATTTAGCTCAGTGATTCCGCCACCTGCCTCGAAAGCACAAGGTCCTGAGTTTGATCTCTGGTACCAAAAAAAAAAAAAATTTAAAAAAGAAAAACACCTTCATTTTGTAAACTGCACCATGCACAAATATTGTTCCAGTTTATCTTCCTAGTCTCTTACCTTTGTGGTAGCTAAACAGTTGTATAATAATTCCCCTGAAACCTTTCTGTTGAAAGTCACATCTACTATCACAAGTGTCTCCTTCCTGCCACTGTTCTAATTTCTAATTCACCCTTTTCTTATGAGCAGTCTTAACTTTTCTAGAATACAAGTTTAATTGTGTCAAACCCTCAAAATATCAAGTAAAAATTATTGGAGTAAATGGTGAGAAATAAGGTAAGGCTGGTTTATGGTTGGCCTTGAAAAGTTGAATTGCAAGTGGGAAGTTTTGGAAGAGGGACTAATACAATAAAAAGGCACTGTTTAACTTAGATCATGCCTGTAACAGTGGGCATATGAATTAGAGGTGGCAGATGGGAGTTAGGGAGAACAGCTGTTGGTGATCAGGTATCCTGTGCCCACAGAAATGAGTCTTTTTTTTAGATCCCAGGCCTGCTAGAGTAACACTACCTTACTGAGAGGCTTAAAATTTTGTCTAGTAGAATACTTTAATTTGTTCAGAACTTTTTTGGATTTAACCTATATACTAAATGAGGCAATTTAAAAGGTAGTTTGATTTTAGATGTATGAGGTGTGATTTTTAGAAAAGGTGAATTGTCATTAATCCCCTTCAATGACACTTAGCTCATTGTTCTTACCACTTTCACAGAAGTTCTGGAAGTCCTCTTTGGTGTCTTTATGAGGTATGATTAAAAAAATACAGTGAATGCTGCTGTTGAGTGCCATCCAACAAAAAGGCATGCTCATAGAACATTTCAGTGTGTCCTCATTCACCTTATTCACCAGATTTGGCACTGTGAAACTTCTGGCTCTTTCACAAAGTCAAAATGATCATGAAAAGTAAAAGTTTTGAATCAATTTAGGATATCAAGGTAGCCACAATAGAACAACTAAAGACATGAAAGAGGATTTCCAGAACTACTTCAGAACGTCATAAGAAGAATAAGCTAAGGGTGTTCAAACTGAAAAGGATCAATGGCAATGTATCTTTTACTATACAAAAATTTTAATTTAAACATTCACCATATTTTTCAATCACACCTATAAAATATATGAAGTACAAAAGAAGTTCTGTGCTGCGATTGTGTAGTGCTGCTGGGTCACTTGGCCATAAAGGACCTTGCCCAGGAGCATCTGGCCATTCTCTTTAAGAGTCAAGATTATACTTAGTTATTCCTGTAAAAGGGAGTCCTTCCACCCTTTTCTTGGGATCCCAGGACAGGTGAACCACACAAAAGTCTGTTTCAGCTATTGCTGGATATGTTATGGGCTGAGGTGTGGGGAAAGGTGATTGGGGTTTAAATAAGAGCATATTGAGGGAGTTAAGCCTGGGAGTCCCTTGGTTTCAAATATGCCCATATTTCACTATAGCATGCATAGCTCCATGATAAATCTGTGCTATTCCCAAAGAAACACCATTTTTCTTGGGTGAGTCTCTCTGCTTTTAGGTTCATACAGAGAACAGGGATTACCAGGAGGCAATAGGTTTCCTTTGTTATACACATAAGACTGTGTGCTCTACAGGTAAAGGATCTTCTGGCAAATGGGAAAGTAATCCTTATTTTCTCTTCAGAAATAGAAAATTGTCTTCTGATTAAACTAGCAGGAAATGGAAAAGGAGGTGGGGTAGAGGGAGAGGAAGACAAAAGGAGAGAGAGGGGAAGAGGGAAAGAGAGAAGAAGCAGAGAGGAAGAGAGAGGGAAAGAAGGAGAGAGGGAGAGAGGTTACGAATAGAATAATGTGCCTGAAAATCTAAAACTTGTTATTGGATTTCCCCAAATTATCAGAGTCTTTGGAGATTGCAATTCAGGAAGGGGAGAAACGGGGGAGTTGGTAGTAGAAAGTGGAAGATCCTGTTGTACATTTGTGGTATGGGCAGGTTTGTTTCTCACATCCTGTGAGCAAAGCTTCATTATCACCCACCTTCACCAGCAGTGGTGCCATCATCTTTTCTTTCACTTACACTCGAGCTGTTTAGAGTCTACTTTTAAACTCTGGCTCAAGGCCACTTCTATCAAGTCTCCTCTGACAATTATAGTTTTCATTTCTTTCTTCATTTATTGAAATCTTATTGAGTTTATAATTACATTCATACCATTTTGCATGTAATAGTTATATCAAAAGTGTGATCCTTCAACTTTCCTTCAACTGGATAGCATAACTGCTGAGTTTGGAGATTTGACTTTTTAATCTTTTTTTGAATATTCTGAGGAAGATTCTGGGCTCATATTTATTAAATATTTTCCAAGGTCAAAACTTGGTAAATATGGAAGAACAACCACTTAAAAATACGGTATACAAATTTTTACTCCAGCATTCTTTAAATCCTTTTAATTAGCTAAAATTTTCAAATAAGACATTTCCATTTTTATTATCTCAACAAGATCGCTCAGTCCTTCCTATAGCAGATCTGAAACCTTTCAACTTACCCAGAATTGTCAAAAGGGGCATCGTCTAGAGATTTCTAGCAATGAACTGTCAAATTTGATTTGCTAAGGTTAAGTAATGTTCTTATAGCGTCCCGTTGATAAAAGTATCAAATTTCACAGACACCTGAACAGGGAGTGAAATGATCATCTAACAATGTAGTTCGCTTACCTATCAAATAGGGTAGCTGACTAAGCTCCCAGAGCTCACTACCGCTCAGATGCTAGGCAGGGGTCACATCATTAGGCAGCCAATTGGGTCGTCAGCTGTGGTGCCTCCTGGGAGTTGTAGTTTCTGGCTCCTCCCGCCGACTCCAAGCTCCACAGAGCGTAGGAGGACGGTTGCCTGGTTGTCTTACCAAGCGGCAAGTATGGCGGTGGCGCGCGCCGACTCGGCTTTGCCTCCCGGAGAAGGTAAGGCAGTCTCCACCCCTGAGTACCCAGATTTACTCCATGGAACCAAATTAAATAGTTGCCTGGCGGAGAGAAGAAGGCTGGACCCTGAGGGGCAGTTGTAGACCAGCTCTTTTGATACGGAGCTGGGGGCGTCGCGGAGGCGCGCTTCCTTCTGGGAGTTGTAGTCCCTGCGTGCTGTCCAACTCCGCAGCTGCGCCGAGACCGCCCGGCCCGAGACTTCAGCCCCCAGGAGTATTCGCGATATCCAGTGCCCCCAGTCCCGCGCTCCCTATCCTGTCGGGGCGTTGGGTTTTGACCTTCTTGAACATTTACTTGGAGGCATGCCTAGGGGAAATCCGCAGTCTTTCTCCTGCGCTTCAGGTGTCCCCTTCCTCTTCAGTTCCTAGAACGTTCAGGAAGCATTTCCTCAGACTCACTCCATTGACCCAACTCTGCCTTGTAGTGGCTAAAATCTCGGGGTGAACCAGAGCCCACGCTTTTCTGCCCTTTTTTTAAGGGGTATGGGTGCTTCAGCGACCCGGAGACATCTCGGGGGCGCGGGACCGGGAGCTCCTTTTGTTTTGGTTACGGCACAGAGGTTCGGTAGTTGCCGTCTGGATGGGGAAAAGGGCAGGAGTCGAGGCTCCTCTTCCCCTAAGTCAGAAGCTGATTACCTGGGAACCTTAAATTCTTGAGGGAGGAATGTGTCGGTAGTTACAAGAGATCTGTCAACCTTTTAAAATAGTGTTAGAAGGATGGGTGTACTTTTCTGGATTACCACAGTTTTCGTCAGATTTTCAGAGGCGCTCCCTCACATGCTAAGCGCCATTAAAAGATTGAAAGACGTTGAAGCTCACACAGAGAGCAATCTTACCTAATTATTTCCCGCAACAGCCCTAATCTGGGTATAAATTTAACATTGGCAGTTCCTCTGGCCCCGCCCCCCTCGATAGTTGCTTTTCTTAAACCCCACCTCTCTCACCCATCTGGGCAATAACGGCAGTTAACATTTGTAGAGCCACTTTTTATGATCCAAATGATGTTTTGAGGTTGTTTTTTTTTTCCTTTTTCTCTTTTTATTTTTTTACATTATCTCATTTTCCTGTTTAGTACTTGTGTAGTATAAAAGAGGTCTTAACCATCATCCGGGTCGTGCAGAGTGGAAAAGTGAGCTCAGAAGAGAACTGTAATTTGTCCAGGAACGTTCAGGAAGCATTTCCTCAGACTCACTCCATTGACCCAACTCTGCCTTGTAGTGGCTAAAATCTCGGGGTGAACCAGAGCCCACGCTTTTCTTCCCTGTTCTGCAGCCCGGATCCGGCGATTGGGGCTGACAGTGCATAGCTAACATTTGTAGAGCCACTTTTTATGATCCAAATGATGTTTTGAGGTTGTTTTTTTTTTTTCCTTTTTCTCTTTTTACATTATCTCATTTTCCTGTTTAGTACTTGTGTAGTATAAAAGAGGTCTTAACCATCATCCGGGTCGTGCAGAGTGGAAAAGTGAGCTCAGAAGAGAACTGTAATTTGTCCAGGAAACTGCAATGGCTAAGTGATAGAGCCAGGATCTGAACGTCTCTTGTTACTGGAGCGCTTTATTGAGTGCTACGTGGCAAGATTCGGGTTAAGTGCTGTTATGTGTTATCTCTTTTAATCTTCGCATCAATCTAGTGAAATAGGTGTTACTCTATTTTATATATGAATTGATTAAAGTATACTTCGTCAAAATGGTTTGGGCACTTTAGGATGTACCTGTCATTAGTTATAAGCAAATTGATCTCTATCAAAAGTTCAGTTCAAGTTTTAAAATGCCATTGTTACTTAGACATAAAATAATGGAAGTGAATATTTAGATATGAACAATTCCAAAGTATTACTTCATACAGACTTGACTAAAATATCACAGATCTAGTTGTAATTTGATATTTCTGAGGAAAATGAGTATTTGAATCTGGTTATTTAGAACTCAAGATTGATTTAGTTCTAAAATCTTTTTTTTTGTTGTTGTTGTTTTTTGAGACAGGGTCTCACTATGTATTTGAGACTGACTTGGAACTCACTATGTAGACCAGGGTGGTTGCGAACTCACAGCGACTCTCCTGCCTCAGACTCCCAAGTGCTGGGACTACAGGCGTGTGCCACCATGCCCAGCCTTAGTTTTAAAATCTTGATATTGATTGTGTTCTAGTATTTTCTAACTGATAGAGATTTCATTAGTATAATTGAATTTCTACACTTAGCTTTTATATTTGTATTTTCTTTTTTTGTTTTTGTTTGTTTTGTTTTTTTTTTGTACCGGGGATCAAACTCAGGTCCTTGAGCTTGTGAGGCAGGCGTGGGAACAACTGAGCTAAATTCCTGGCCCCTTCTTTTTATTTTTTTGAGGCAGGGTCTTTTTTTGTAGTTCAGGCTGGCCTCAAACTCAAGGTGATCCTCCTGTCTCAGCCTTCTGAGGCTGGGATTACAGGCATGTGCCACCACACCCAGCTTATATTTGTCTTTTCTAACAAATCCTCTTGTCTTTTCAAGGATCTGTGGTCAATTGGTCAGGGCAAGGACTACAGAAATTGAGTCCAAACTTACCATGCGAAGCTGATATTCACACCTTGATTTTGGATAAAAATCAGATTATTAAATTGGAAAATCTGGAAAAATGCAAACAATTAATACAGGTGGGTGTTACTATCTGGGAAATAGTTATATAGGATTAATTCATTATTAAAATAATAAAATACCCCTACAGAAAGTACCTCTGAAGGCCTGAAAAGGAGTAAATGTTGCCTTAAACTTTTACATGGCAATTTCTCCTGAAGATAAACATATGTGCTATTTGGACTAGAAAAAAGCATTGTTGAAGAAAGAAGACATTTTATGTTGGAAAAATAGTGTGTTGCTACTTTTTACCTCATGTTGAGGGTAAGGAGTTCATTTATTTATGAAGTGTTTTTTAGTTCTCTTTTATATGCCTGGCACTATTGTAAGATTTTGAGTAACATTATGAGGACCCCATTTTTGTGGTGCTTATATTCCCCCTTGTTGTAGTAAAGGATCTTTAATACCTAGTAGCAAAAGGTCTGATCAGTCAGCTTTGTGTATTTTCAGTTGCTTAGAACAACAAAATACAGGTAGTCATACTGTGGATAATGGATTTAGGTAATAAATGTGAAAAGTATAAGTTGTGTTTGCTTGTTTAGGAAATGTTCAGCTTTTTAAAGTTTTGTACCCATATACTATATTGTTCCGGGGAATAATGATATGTTTCCTTTCCAGTTGTCAGTGGCTAATAATCGGCTGGTACGGATGATGGGTGTGGCCAAACTTACCCAACTCCGTGTATTAAATTTGCCTCATAATAGCATTGGCTATGTGGAAGGGCTAAAGGAACTAATACATTTGGAATGGCTGAATTTGGCAGGAAATAATCTCAAGGTAATTTTTTTTGTAATTAAAAACATTATAAATCTGTTTTCTGTTTAAGAAGAAAGAAATTCAAGCAATATATAAATAAGTAGAAAAAAAATGGAAGTCCATTTCCACTCCCTGGGGATAATCTCTTAACTTTTTTTTTGTGGTACTGGGGATTGAACTCAGGACCTTGTGATTGCCAGGCAGGCACCGTGCCACTGAGCTAAATCCCCAGCAAAAACAAAGTTACTGAGTTGTTTTTTTTTTTTCCTTCATGAATCAAACTTGGGACCTTGTACTTGGGAGGCAGGCAGGGCGCCACTGAGCTAAATCCCTGGCCATTCTCTAACATAATTTTGAAAAATCCCATTTTGAAGCACATAATACAGTATAGTATTCTTTTAAACATGAACAAAGAATCTATATTATACTTAGGAAAAAAGTAGGTCAAACAATAGAATGTGAGGAGAAAAACAGTATCTTGCTGAATTAAACTTTAAGTAAATGTTTAATGGTATAATGAGAAGCAGATCTGGACCCTAGTCCTGGTTTTACCTCTTAGTGACTAGATTATTGTGGGTTAGTTAATAAGTTATATTTGTGTCTTAGGTTTTGATATGACAGTGAGGAGACTAGATTAAATGATTGTAATAGCTGCCTTTTATTGAGAAATTAATTTATTCTAGATACCCGTCTAAGCACCTAATCTATATTAACTCATTCAGTGTTATGACAGCCTAGGTGGTAGATATACTGGTAGTTATTTTGCCCATTATATATATACAGGATAAAACTAAAGCACAGAGAAGTTAAATAATTTGCCCAAAGTCCCACATCTAGGACAGTGTAGAGTCAGGACTTAAATCCAGGCTGTTTGGCTTCATTTTAAACTTGTAAACTCTGTTCTATACCAGCTGTCATGTCACTGAAATTCTTCAGGCCGTAAATATCTAGGAAGATATGAACTTCTTGATAGTGCTATACTATTAGAAGGATAATGGTTGTGGAAGCTTATGACATGATAGTTTACTAGCATTACCTCCCTTTTCTCTTGTTCAGCTTTGCTTCTAAGAATAATGAGAGGAGGCAGGAGACCTTGTAGGTAGAAGAAAGTAGGGAAGAATTTAATTTTTTATTTTTAGTAACTTAATATGATAATTTTCTTGTGGTAGGCAATGGAACACATCAACAGCTGCACGGCTCTACAGCACCTAGATTTATCAGATAATAACATACACCAGATAGGTGATCTATCTAAATTGATATCCTTGAAGGTAAGCATGTTTTCTGTCACTTATGAAATTTTATTCCAAAATACCAAGAGAAAGTCATGTGACTGGCCTAAAATCTTACTGTGTATGAAGAACACATTATTTTATATAAAAGAATTCTCTGAGATTAGCAAATATTGAGTATGGAACTTTTTGTTATTAGTTTCTTTAAAAACAAAAACCAAAAAATAGTCTTAGTATGTTTCCCAGGCTGGTCTGAACCCTTGTGCTCAAATGATCATCTTCTCTCAGCCTCCCAAATCCTGGGACTACAGGTGTGTGCCACCACACCTGGCTTTGTTATTAGTTTCTATCGCTGATTTGTTTTATGTAAAACTGCTCATTGTATAGTTAAGATCAAATCTTACTTACCATCCACTGAACAGGATTTAATTCCTTTCTCATTCAACACAATGTTAATGACTTTGGTCATATAACATGCTTGAGTATAACCGGTCCTGATCTTAGGGGTTTTTTTGTTGTTGGTGATGGTGGAGGTTGTTGATTTTTTTGGTTCTTGTTTTGTTTTGTTTTGGAGATAGGGTGTCACTGTGTTGCATAGTATGGTCTTGAACTCCTGGCCTCAGGTGCTCTTCCCTCCTCAGCCTTTCAAGTAGCAGAGAATGCTGTGTTCCTGGGATTATAGACACATGTCTTGCTAAATCTTTTTTTTTTTTTTTTTTTTTT